AATCTGTCCTTGGATGTCTGTACTTTCTGAGTTTTGTAAATTTAGTCACTTTTTTTTTTTGAGTTCTTTCAACTTCAATCATCCTTCTAGTGGGGGAAATTTTCAATTCATAAAAGGTAGCTACAAAGCAGACATCCAAATATACAATTTTATTTACATTTATAATCAAGACCACTTCCTTAAAAATCAACATACTATAAAAATACTCGTTTTAGAATATAGTCTTCAACTACTCAAGATCAATGCTTCAATGTATCTTACCTGTGAATTTTCTTCTAGGAATATTAAAACGTGTATTGAACTTTTTCTGAACAGATTTGAAAAAGTGAAGGCATAGTTCCCTTAGATTTTTCTTTCTCCCTCACCCAATATGTACAGGAAATATTTTCAAGTAATTTGATAAATGTTGTTTAAACAAGTTTTAAAGAAATTAAGAAATACAAGGCCAAATACATGAATATTTATGAATAAGTATTAGAGTCAAATGCTATGTAGTAACTCTTATACATTTTAAGAAATAAATAATTGGGGAATTTCATTGTACACATATGTATCTACACAGCTAAGAGACTATGGCATCAATATCCCTTAGTGTCATTTCTCCCGTGTATGTTGTCGTTTGCTGATAAAAGTAGCAGAATAACTTGTTCTTTGATAATTGTTTGCTGTCATGTTCTCTTTTGATATAAGGATATAAATGTTCATTGATTTTTGCATTCAACATTTCACTTAGATTCAGAAGAATATCCAAAATTGATTCCTAGAATTAGAATTACTGTATTCAAGTGTACATGTGAAACTTCTACAGACTAAATGCAAATATTTTGCTTGCCTCCTCACTACTCCAAGTAAACTTTTCCTCTTTATCTCAGGTGTTCACCAGAAAAAAATAATCTCAAATCATTGTCTAACTATTACAATTGGGTAGTCATTTACAGGGACACTCAGCTCCACTTGTTTGGTAGCCGAATTACCGTCCCTAAGGATGCAAAGTAGCTGATAGTGTGTTGGGAACTAGACTCAACAAAAATAGCTTTTGCCACAGTGGGGGCATTGGGATTTTAGAAATATCAGTAAAGAATATGAAGACACAAAAATAATCAAACGGAAAAACACAGAATAACACCAGGAGGGAGTACCAGTGAGTACTAAAAATCATATGCATTTAATTTCCAACTGGTTAAAATACCCCTGACCACAAAAGGTAAAAGTAAGATTTAAAAAAAAAAAAAAAAAACCTACATTAACACATTGCGAAGAAATGAACAGACCAGTTAAAGGTCACAGGCTATAGCCGTAGTTAAATATTCTGTTGCTAGAAAAAAACAAATCCTGCTCAGACCCTAGACCAAAACATTCTATAAGCAAACCACTGCCTGTGTGGAATCCAATGTTATCTCCTTCAATGAACCAGAACCTTAGTAGGATCCTTAGACTTTTGTTTGTGGTAGAAAGAGATCTACTTCTCTATCGCTGAAATACAAGGTCTGGCTATTAACCACACGTGTGGGCAATAACCTTGAGAGAGCAGAGGTCTCTGATCTTAATCTAGGTGGTGCCTTTGAGGTAGAAACACAGTAACTTTGAATGAATAGAGGTAAATTTGAACTCTGATTTTTGGTTAGTATGGAAATAGGCTCCCATTTTTGAGCCTCCACAACAGTAGCTATGAGAAAGTGTGTAGAGATCTTCTAAGGCAGGAAAAAATTCTTGTGAGGAGGAGGATCTTTATGATGGAATGGCGTAGAGGAGGTAGGAAGGAAAATTAGTCAGGTCACCGGTATACACAGTTCACACCACTTCAATGCTGCTGCGTCATCCATACATCATCCTGGAATGAATAAAATGTGCCTTTTGTAATCTCAAAGAATTAACAAAATGTTTCCACTATTCCTGAAAGTGTTTTTCTCCATAATTAATTACAACAGACCTAAACCCATGTCTGACCATCATAATATTTCCATAGTGGAATTCATAGTTACAAACATATTTAGCAAGCAAGAAAGTGAAAGAGATCATCGAGTTAGATCGGGGTGAGCGTACTATCCAGAGCCAAGAAGCAAGACCGTAGACACATTCCCCTCACAGCTGTCTGCTGTTTTCAGGTTGTGTTTAATTTAACAGGGCAGGAACAGGAAAGGAGAAGGTTGTCCATGCACATTTGTTGTCACCACATCAGTCATGCGCTGATTGAAGTCAAATCAACATACCGAGATCTGTGTTTGAGACAGGAGAAGCCACAGGACTTTTGAGAACAAATAGTTAATAAAAATGTGCAGACTTAATGTATATATTATCTTATCCTACAAGAAGACTGAACCAAATGGAGATATTTGATTTACTTTGGGGAATTAATTAAAGGTCCATGACATGGCAGACATAAACAGCCAATAAAAGAGTTTCCAGGTGCAAGCCCCCGACCCTTTCATAGAACAGCAAAATGACCCCAGGAGTCTGGCATGAAAGAAAGACAATGCAGTTATAGGCTTGGAGAATCAGACACTGAAAAAGAAAGATGCTGCCTTATTATAACAGACTAACCTCTGAAACTGTGAGCCTGCCCCAACTAAATGTTTTCCTTTATAAGAACTGCTATAGCTGTGGTGTCTCTTCATAGCAATAAAACCCTAAGACACCAGGTAATAGAGAGGGACTACCTGAGAATGACATTCAACTTTCCACATGGCTTGTCAAAATGCAAACTACTCTCTTGAGAAGTTATCAAAAGCAGTTGTTCTGAATTAATCTTTGGGTGATGAGTTCCCTGGATGGGTGCTATTGCTAGGGAAGATTGAACAGCTAAAATAGAATAAAATGTTGGAGTCATTCAAGAAGATTATAGAGAAATAGGAATTTAAAACATCCTTAAGGAGGTAGAACATAGGTAAGAGTATATTGAGGGTGGGGGGTGAAGATAGAAGAGATTAAATCTTGTGAAAGTCAAGTGTCTGTGTGAAGTACTGAAAGTTTTGGAAATGGTAGTCGTAGTGCTTATACACCATTTTTAAAGCAATTAATGCTTCCAATATTTCCATTTAATAGTTAATATTTATTTCATATATGTAGAACTTTACAAAAATATAATATATCTAATTACACACACATGTATACAATTTATCAAAATTATTTAAATGAAGTTAAGGATGGTACTGGACACTAGATTTGCAACCTGTGTAGTTTTGACTTTAAACATCTTGAGTGATCTCATTTGAGGGTCTATCTTAAATGCCCATAGAGAAAATACCGGCTAAAGGTTCTCTCTTGTCCAAGGAATACGTTTATCTCCTGCTTTTGCCTTGTGGATTATCATAGTCATTGAGATTGCTAATGGATATGAAACAAACATAATCCTATATTTTGGCATTTGAAATATAGTATTAAATGGGATATCATGGCTCTTTTTATGTAATAGGCAAGGAAGGAGTTGGAATGATGGCTCAGTTGTTAAAGGCATGTACTATTTAAAGGCTTCCAAGTATCTGTGTTGTTTGAATCACAACTTTCCTATAACTCTAGCTCCAGGGAATCCAGTGGCCTACAAGGGCACCTGCACTCACCTCCACATATTTCACACACACACACACACACACACACACACACACACAAAAAAAAAATCTATATATAGATTTGCCAAATTGTTATATTTCAAATCATTATTTTGCATATGGCATATTATAAAATGAACAGTATTGTGTTATAATGGAAATGAGAACTGAATCTAAGTTTGCATAAGTACGCTAAATAAAATCAGTCAGGAAAATTACTTATGCTTTAAAAGTTAACTCACATGAATTCATAGTAGAGATAGGTGACAGGCCATTAAGTCTTTCAGTAAATAAAAGTATTTATTATTGTTGATTAAACAAATCTGACTTTAAAGTGTTATTCTATCTGGTTCCCCATTATAAAGAAGAGAGATTTGAGGTTTGTCCTAAGAACCTAATCCATTACTTATCTCGGTATATATTATTTTTAATAATCTGAAAGTAATCAAATGACTGAAATAAAATAAATAGTTGCAAAATAATTTTATTCATTTCTCCTTGTTTAAAAGAAACGTAGCTTAATTTTCTTTTCTATTCTCTCTGAACCCCGTGAAGGTTATCTCACGAAAGAAAATCACTATTGCCTAAAGCAGAGTATAGCTTAATTGTTATAGCACAAATGATTGTTATTTTCATATACAGAAAGATTGTACAGGAAGAAGTCCCCCAAGTTCATTTGATGCTAAAGATGGGCCCACGCTAGAGTTTTAGTTCTATGGATAGAGGTTTTCCTTGTGGCTCTGAAAGATATGACCTCAAAAGAAGGTCAATATAGATTCTCTTATCGGGAGGGGTTTCCTTACCCTTCCTGGGCACACTTTTCCCTGTGGCATTTACATCTCAGTCTTTGTTGGCACAGGTGACAGAAGAGACACCCACAGTTGAAAAGCTTCAGTTAAGTAAATAAACTGCAGGAATTGTTCTTTATTGTTCTATTCCACAATTGCCTGAGGTGATATTTTGGGGCAGGTATAATTATGATTATCACCTAAGGAATGTATTGGGGCTTTTTATACTAAAAGAGAATGTGTGTGTGTGTGTTTGCCTATGTGTATGTGTGTTTGTGTGCATGTGTGTGTGTGTGTGTATAACATCTAGAAGATGTCTTAATGCTGAAATTACAAAAATAAAGTTTTCTAATTATACTAGGATCTAATTCATTGTGATCTAAGCTCCCAGAACTTTGCCTAGAGTTAGTCATATCCACAATTAGGATCCAATGAAGTAAGAAACTTTACTTCAGCCCTTGTAATAGCTGCCTAAAAGACATGGCTTATTCAGCTTGCTCTAGTGAGTAACATAACATAGGCTGGGTGACTGTAATAACACCAATTATAAACCAAGGACAAATAGAAAAGCAAATCCTCCTATCTGAACACTGCAGTGAACTGTATGAGACAAATGGCCCCAAAGAAAGTTGTCACGATATGAATTTCACTGATAGAACTGTCTACCATGGAAGCTAGCGGTGTGGGTCACAGCGACGAAGGTATAAAGAAGTGTAGGCTCTGTGATTGTAATCTAAATGCAAATCACAATTTAATTTCTTGAAAACAACATTAAATATAGGTTAATGTGGTTTCCTCATTACTGGTCCTCACCCAGAGTTATTACAGGCTTCTGAGCAGACCAGTCATCAAAAATAATTATGCTTTGCAGTGTCGTTTGAGATTAGGGTCATCTGGCTGATTTCAAGAAAGAAAATGCAATTCTTTTAGTTTTAACTATGACATGTGACATTGTGACAGAAGAATTTGCAAAATTCCAGACCAAACTCACAAAATGGACTTAAATACATATGAAGCAGAGTAAAACTTTTATAGAAGCTAGCTATTTCCCTACCATCATATTGAATAAAAATATTTAAAATAGAAAAGTAGGTATCTTAGTAGATGAGAAATTTCATTTACATGTTTAATATTAAAGTTACCCTACATGTAATTTCGTTGCTCTAGCAGGACTCCAGATGTGAGGCTGAAAATAGAATATGCAGTGGTAGGAAGAACGTGAGCCATATCCCAGTTCCTGGGCAGGTGCAGGAATCTTTTCCTTGCTACCTGCTGTCTCCTTCCTTCCTTCCTTCCTTCCTTCCTTCCTTCCTTCCTTCCTTCCTTCCTTCCTTCCTTCCCTCCCTCCCTCCCTCCCNTCTCTCTCTCTCTCTCTCTCTCTCTCTCTCTCTCCCTCTCCTCCTCCTTCTCCTCCTCCTCCTTCTTCTTCTTCTTCTTTCTTCTTTCTTCTTCTTTTACTTCTTCTTTGCCCCTCTCTGTGTCTCTCTCTTTCCTTCCTTCCATCCTTGTCCTGCATCATCTCTTTCTCTTCTTTTACCTTTTCTCCTTGTCTTCCTCCTGTATCTCTCCTTGATCTAGTTTCATACCATTTAGTTCCATTCCCTTCCTTCTATCTAGAACCCCTTCCCTTCCCTCTTTTTTCTTTCTTTCTTGCTTGCTTGCTTGCATTCTTGCTTTCGTGCTTGCTTGCTTGCTGGCTGGCTGGCTTGCTTGCTTTCTCCCTTCCTTCCTTCCTTCCTTCCTTCCTTCCTTCCTTCCTTCCTTCCTTCTTCCTTTCCTCCCTCCATCCTTTTTCTCTTTTCTTCCTTGTCCTGCATTCCTCCCTTCCTCCTCTTTTACCTCCTTTTCTTGTCTTCCTTCTGTATCTCTTCTTGATCTAGTTTTATAACATTAAGTTATATTCTCTCCATTCTATCTAGAATTCCTTCTTTCCCTCCCTCCCACTCTCCCTCCTTCCTTCCTTCCTTCCTTCCTTCCTTCCTTCCTTCCTTCCTTCTTTCCTTCCTTCCTTCTTTCCTTTTATCTTTTATTTATTGGCACTGGGTGCTAAGATTGGATCCACTGCTTTGAACTTGTCAATACTGTCAACTACCATGGAGTTGCGATCTCATCCACACTCTAATTTGAGCTTGAATTTTCCTACTTTGTAATTTGTGAGAATATTTTTGTGAAGAACGACTAGACTATTATGGAAAAATAAGGGCTAATTTAAAACTATTTGAGATGAATTGCTATTTCTGTAATTTGAATATTATGTTCAAAACCTTCAGTTCCCCTTTCTTCCATGTATCCTCACTGAGCTTCTTGTTGTCAAGCTCACTGACTTCATTGACTGACATCTCTAGTCTTATCTCCAACACTGGCAGCTTTCTCAGTCAGTGTGTTTATATTTTAACACACAAGTCTTTTAAAAAATAAAAGAGAATGGTCTTTCTGCCAATTACCCATTACTTTTATATGAATTATAACTTGTACTCTGTGGTCTTTAAAAGCTTTGTCTGAGTAAGGTTTCTTAGTTTATTCTTTGTGGGATTTACTATTTGCATTTATCATCTTCTTAGAGCTGTGTTGAGTCATTGTGTTGCTGTTAGTTGGTTATTTTTAATGATTATGAGGAGGAACTTAAAAGTTTCCTGTGTTTTTCGTTATCATAATTAATATTTTTGCTATTGTTGTTTTCCTGTATTGATGGGTATTGACCTCAGCATCTCAAATGTGATAAGTAGAGCTCTACTACTGAGTTACAATTCAGTCTCAGTGTTTTTTTTTTTTTTAGCAATGTAGACTAAAATATTCATTCTTAGCAACTATGATTAGCAAGACCTCTATCACAGGTACATATAACAGATGATATCATTAGGTGGTATTAAATCAGACATTGAAAATATTGGTATACTACGCTTTTTTAATTTTTAGTTATTTAAACGTCTATACTTCTCTCCCAGAGAAAAAATGCAAATCCCTTGGGAAGAGGGATCATTTTATGTTTGTCTTTTCAACATCCCAAATAACTATAAAAACTAAACATAACTCTCTTTACCTAAATATATTTTTAATTTCCTTTAAAATCTAAAACTATTTTCTATTATAAAACTGTGTATAAGTGTATCAAAGCTATTGGTTATGTAAAATAGCTTGTTATAAATTCTACATATATATTAAACAACTCTACATCTCATTATTGGTTTGACTTTAATAGCTCTTATTGAATGTTCTTCTTATCTTGAATAAAATATTGTATTATAATTCCCCATGTCAGTATTATTAATAAAGAATGTCTAGGATCATCATATTTCTTTTAAAATGTATTAAGCATGTTTAATTGTGGTCTGAAATACTGTATTTATTTATATGCTATCATGCTGAAGTAATTGAGCTTTGGCCTTCATATCTACAGCTTTCACAACCTCTATTAGCCTGTTTCCAAATGTCTGTATTATGTTTTTCAGTAGGACTGTCTTCAAGGGTTAATATAAAGTACATAGGACCATTTTGGTTCATAGATTTTACCAGATAATAATTTACTTCAAATGGTTGTTCTACTGAATACTAAGAACTTGGACAGTGTTCCCAACCTGATCTTATTATTTAATGTGTTGAAGGACTTGCTGAGATGGTTTCCAGCATGACGCAGAAGAAAAGCGAGGCGAATGGGCCTACTATATTGATTATTTTTTTCTATAGGCAATTTCTGAATGCTTCTTTTTAGATTTGTCTTTAAACCAGGTTTCAGCGTACATGACTAAATTGGAGAAGTGGTGAAAACATCTGGCCATGTCCTCAAGGGAAGTGATCAGTGCCACACAGAAATGAATGCTTGGCTTCTATTTTCTTATAAACTATAATGAAAAATAAATCTTTAAAGATAGTATATAATGTTTTATGACTTTTTTCTCCCTTTTATGTTTGTCTTTGTTTCTGTTCAATGTCATAGCAAGTCTCCTTGATTTCCAAGTTAGTATTAAACTTCAGCCAGTCAAGTAGCTGGGATTACAGGCAAATACCACGGCAAACAACCGAGCTCTATATTTTTAATTACTTTATCCATGCAATATTCCATTTCTGGAATTGATTCTCAGCTTATAAATTTGTACCTAAATATAACAAATTATATAAATTTTATTATATTTATGAAATAAAGATTCAAATATTTGGAATACATATTTGTTTGGAGGATAATACATAATAATTGCGTATAGATAAGATGATTTTGAATTTGTTAATATCCACTTTTATATTAATGACAAAATATTTCTTTAGAATCACCACTTCAATAAAAGAAAAAACTATTCAATATAAATCTCCATTCTTTATTTGCAAAATGGCATTGGCTTTACGTATTAACATTTTGTACATGATAAAATAGTCCTTTTGTTTAGTTTTATGCTTATTTTTTCTAAGACATCAACATGGTCTTATTTTTCATTACTGAAGCAAAGAGGAGATATTAAATGCAAAATATTGTATTTAAATGCAAATGCTACAACTGAATATAACAGAGGAAAATAGTATGCTATGGGATCACATGAATAGTCATTAAAACTGAACTTCTATCATTTAGAAATTCTTTTTGAGAAATTTAAACATGTGGGAATGTGCAAACATATCCATGAAATCTTTTCTCTCTCTCTCTCTCTCTCTCTCTCTCTCTCTCTCTCTCTCTCTCTCTCTCTCTCTCTGTGCATGTATACCCACTAACACTAAGAAAATGCCTTCATAGAAATGGCACATTAGCTGTCAGATATAAAGGACATCCAGCTTCACACTAAAATTCCTAGGCTACAATTTATTGCTCTTAAGATTTCAAACAAAAGACCCAAAATGTTGCTTTATTTTCAACCCATTAAACACAATGTTTTTTTTTTCAGAAATTTGTGAATATCACCGTGTTTTATATGTAGAGAAATTGTTCTGACAATTTGTATTTTTATTTTGCTTCCAGATCTAATGCTGTGTGTGTGTGTGTGTGTGTGTGTGTACAATTATGTAGTTATTCTCCTTAACTTTTTACCATTTAACCTTTTCCATGTAAGCCATTTTTTACCTCTCAAATTCATGGCCTCTATTTCTTTTCTTGTTGTATATCTATCTTCCTCTTTATCTCTCATCTATCTTTCATCTATCTATCTAAATATCTATCTATCACTCTTTTCTTATATAGTGGCTATTGTATGCATATAATTTCAGGAATGCCTACTTGGTATCAGAAAAGCAATTTTGAGGGTCTTCCTAGGAGAAAATTATTTCTTCTTCTCTCAACATTCCTTAGTTGTCTGTAGTTCTTTTAGGGTTGAGACCTTTTAAGATTCCCCCTCCATGTTATTATGCCTGCTGGTATCATCCTTGTTCACATCTTGATAAAGCAGTTATGTAGGTGAGACTTCATGAGTACACTTCTCTGGTGTTCACAGAAAATATAATATCACTGCACACTTTCTCTTCCTCTACATCATACTGTCATTCCATCTTCTCGTCTATGACACCTGAGTCTTGTATGCAGGAATTGTGTTGTGGATGTATTGGTTGAGGTTAGGCAATATGCAATCTCTTGTTCTCTATTTTTTTTTTTTTATCAATTGTGGTTTTCTGTAAGGGTCTCCATTTGGTAAAAGGAGATGTTTTTCTGGGTAGTAAGAATTATACAAGTCAGTGTATATAACTAACTGTTGACTGAGATGAACCTAGGATACACACAGGGTACACCATGAAAGACCTGACTATCAGCAACCCAATCCACTGTAAATAGTCTAGAGAACTACTCCTATATTCCCAAATATTGTTTATAAATGTTTGTTTATGTTTAAAGGGAGAAATGCTATAGAGATGGATACTTTGAACTAGTAATGGATCTTGCTTTATTGATACAAAATTAAGGTCAATTTTGTTATACTGTGTTTATGTATATTTCTGTTCTTTATTAAGGTATTGTGATTGTGTAGTTCATTTAAAAATGTAATATATATTTTAGAGGCGGCTGCCGTCAGGGACATATCCGAAGCAAGTGTTTTCGATGCCTATGTGCTCCCCAAACTCTATGTCAAGCTGCATTACTGTGTGAGCTGTGCCATTCATAGCAAGGTAGTCAGGAATCGATCCCGGGAAGCTCGGAAGGACCGAACGCCCCCACCACGATTTAGACCTGCTGGTGCTGCACCACGACCTCCACCAAAGCCCATGTAAAGTGGCTTCATAAAGATAGAAGAAAACACCTTGGAAAAATAAAATGGAACTTAAACTTTAAAAAAATGTAATATATAATTAAGAATATAGGTTAATAGATAATCATCTATAATACTCAAGCTTGTAATCATGTTCGTTACGTTTTCTAGATATACAGAGATCTATTTCAGTTAGATAGGTATTCAAATCTCAAATCTTTTTTATTGATTATTATTGAGCTCTATATTTTTCTCTGCTCCCTTCCCTGCTTCTCTCCTCCCATTCAAGCCTCTCCCAAGGTCTCTGTGCTCCCAATTTACTCAGGAGATCTTGTCTTTTTCTACTACATGTAGATTAGATCCATGTATGTCTCTCTTAGAGTACTCATTTTGTCTAGGTTTTCTGGGATTGTGATTTGTAGGCTTTTTTTTTTTTTGCTCTATGTTTAAAAAGAACTTATGAATGAGTACATATGATAGTTGTCTTTCTAGGTCTGGGTTACCCCACTCAAAATGATGTTTTCTAGCTCCATCCATTTGCCTACAAATTTCTAGATGTCATTATTTTTTTTTCTGCTGTGTAGTACTCCATTGTGTAAATGTACCACTTTTTTTTCCCCAAAAAACCCATTCTTTGGTTGAGGGGCATTTAGGTTGTTTTCAGATTCTGGCTATGGCAAACAATACTGCTATGAACATGCCCTTGTGGCATGGTTGATATATACCCAAAAGTGGTATTCCTGGGTCTTGAGGAATGTTGTTTCCTAATTTTCTGAGAAATCGTCACACTGATATTAAAGGAGGATACCAGCTTGCACTCCCACCAGCAATGCAGGAGTGTTCCCTTTACCCCACATCCTCTCCAGCATAAATTGTCATCAGTGTTTTTGATCTTGGCCATTCTTACTGGTATAAGATGGAATCTCAGAGTTGTTTTGATTTGCATTTCTCTGATGACTAAGGATATTGAGCATTTCCTTAAGTGTCTTTCAGCCATTTTAAATTCTTCTGTTTAGGTCTGTACCCCATTTATTATTGGATTATTTGTTCTTTTGATGACCAATTTCTTGAGTTCTTTGTATATTTTTGAGATTAGACCTCTGTTGGTGAAGATCTTTTCCCATTCTGTAGGCTGTCATTTTGTCTTGTTGACCATGTCCTTTACTTTATATAAGCTTTTCATTTTCAGGAGGTCCCATTTATTAATTGATTCTCTCAGTGTCTGTACTACTGGGGTTATATTTAGAAAGAGGTCTCCTGTGACAATGCATTCCAGCATATTTCCCACTTTCTCTTCTATGAAGTTCAGTGTCTCTATTTGGTACAAGGAGATGTTTTTCTGTGAATTGAGAACTATACAAATCTGCATATGTAAGTACAAATATGTAGAGTATAATTGAGAATTATGCTGGTTTTGTGTTTTTAATAATTTAGACAAATGTATATATCACCTTGTAATCATAGGTTTCAAACCTGTTAGTACGGGATATACTTAGATTTCTTGGAAGTTTACAGTAAGGGGAGAGTTCCAACATTTATGTGATATTGTGCCTACTAGACTGAACTGGATGCATGATTCAAAGATTTATTTTCATAGATCCACAGTGATGAATGCACTCTTAAATATTTTCAACTTATGAAAGAAGAATTCCTTCATTTATTTTTCCTTAAAGCACCATACAGTCTTTAGATTATTTCTCACAATTATTCCAATGTATAATAGTCTCATAAATCAAATACCCAGAATAGGGCAAGTTTTTCAGTGTAGTCTGACATCTATTCCCCAAAGACAATGAAGGATTATGTTTTGTGTATCCTCTTAGAACAGGGTTCCTCATTATCATGTCAGAAACACAAACTTTTAAACATTTTTAATAGTTACTATCCATATTTTTTGATAACTCTCATCTACAGCAGGCTACTCTGCAAAAATCAATCCCAGCTGGAGTGGAAATTATTTTTCTTTCTTTGATTTTCTTCTAGCCCAAGGGACTGAGTACTGCATTTGCTCTACACATTTTTGCTGAGTCCTTTATTTTGCTATTAAGGTGGGAACTGAGCTAGGAGGGCTAGTGCTCAGGTTGTGTAAGGCACAGGTTATATCTCAGGAATATTGACATGACATTTACCTTGGACCTGAGGTCCTATGGATGCGATTATGATCAAATTTCCCAGGATTACAAACCAGAAACGTTATACATCAGCTATCAAGAAGCCTGTAGGTGTGTAACAAGCTTCTCCTGTACTATAAATTACTATGATCTTTTAGAGTACTGAAATCTGATTTTATAACATCATATTGTTACAAAATCTTTTAGAGTCTGTTAACTTAGAATAAGTGTCATTTGATAATAAATAAGAAAGCCTCTTAGAGATAATTAACTAGAAGTTAATCATTAAGTTTCAACAGCCCATGAGCTAGGATTCTCATCAGTTAGCATCTTAGGCCCTGAGAATACCTCCTCCACCCAGCTCGTTGAAGCTGTCTCTGTGGTGTAGTGTAAGAACCAAAGTTACATTTTCAGTTTTAATTACTATGCCTAAGAGATCCATGAAACAAAAATGCCTTTGAGCTGCAGGCCTTATATAGTTCCTGAAATATCAGAGGCTATTATTTATGGGAGATAACAAGTCACGTGTTTTTCATTCTACTAAACAAACGTTTGACCCATGGGACCTAATTGTGCTTGATCACACATGGAGGTTTACAGGGTGCAGGTACTTCAAGATGTTTGCCCTTGATTAAAACTGATGAGAAATGCAATTAATTTTGGGTTTTCTTTTTTAAGCCCTTGCCATACTTGATTCTGGGCTGTTTCCCAGGAACCTGGGTATGGACCTGGGCAGAGCCCATCCTGCTAACCAGTATTTAATTAAGGTTAACTTCAAATTTTGATTTCAACCGTGGTAGTGGCCGTATTCTCGCTACTGGGGTTAACAGTACCCACCAATATATTTTAAATTTGCCTTGATTTATGACTGTCTTCATTCTGTAAAATTATAAAAACCTCATAAATCTGCTTCCACAATGGAACATGGAATTTGCAGCAATGCAAATTTGTGTTCCGAGGCCATGGTCACTCAAAGTGTCTCCAGAATAAACCCTCTTATGATGAGTGATAAACCACTTAGGATGAGTGCTGTAGTTTTTCTACGTTAGCATTTATGGCAGCCAACATGGGTGAACAATCTACTTCTCACAGGAGTAATCACATGAACAGAAGGCAGGTACCTCCCATAGACTCCCTGGGTCTAGGCTAGTTGGTGTTAATTCCTAGGGTGAATTGATGGTGAGTTTTTTGGGGGACTCTGGATGTCACTGTCTTGGTCAATGGTACATTTTGTTTATTCTGAGCTGGTTAAGAAAATCCTAGTGTGATATATAGGGTTTTTTGTCTGCTCTCATAAATATTTAAGGTATCTCATTTGTTTGCTTTCTCTCAGGTCTCTCAAGGATTTTGAATCCTGGTTATTGAGATGGTATTCACTAATTTATTTGATTTTGGTGCTTTCAAAGCATTTTTTCTTGTCATGATTTTAATTGATTTTGAAATATTTTGATTTATTTTCATTTGGCTTTTGTCTCCCAACATTCCTTCTCAAATGTACAGTGCTCCTGACTGTTGCTTCTTCTGTGACTTTACCAAGCCTGCAGTTTAGAAGTTTTTTAGATGCCTGGTTATTATGACACCAAAACCACAGGCACTTGTTCCCTGCCACAAGTGTGGAGGTGTCATAAGGAACTTCATTGGCTCATTCAGGAAGACATGTTCAATGGTTTAATCACCCAGTGTGGGAGTCCCCTTACATTTGCGTAAGTGTGCAAGATAATCATGAGACCTAGTGGGAAGAGGTTGCAGGGTAAAAGCTGAGAAAGTTTATCCCAAAAGGAACACACAAAACAGACTCAAAACACAGATTTCCTAGCTAACATTGACAAGAACTTTTCAGGAGAGAAAGAAAAAAGGAAAAAATATTATACATACAAACATACATACATACATATATGCGTACATGCATACATGTGAAATAAGTTTCCAAGAACAAAGAAATGTTTAGAGACAGACCACCATCAGTTACTATAGCTGGCATTAAGTCTGATAACCATTAGCTTTCAAGTATTTGGATAAACATGGAGATCTAAAGATAACTATCTCGAAGCTTGATTGTCTTTAAGACTTAATGATGTCCTACACAGCAGGGTTTTTTTTTGTTGTTGTTGTTTTATTTTATTATTTACCACCAACAGGCTTTAAAACATGCAAAGTATCAATGAACAACACCAACAACAAAGCCAGATAAAAAAATTGTTTTGTTTAATAAATAACAGTTTTAAAAATACCTGTGAGGTAAGTTGGATGCTAAAGAATTAATTAAGAGAAATCTCCCAGTTTATATCAGCTAAAGGTAAGACCTGGAGTAACTGTTGTTCTTCCCTTCTCTGACCCTGCTTCTTTTTTCTTTGTTATAGCTTTTCCTTAGACTCTCATTAAGATAAAGCTCATGAATGGTTGTTTAGAATGAATATGGTTGTAATTAAGTTATATTGATATAAAGATTATACAATTTTAAAATGTATTTAATATCCAGAGATAAAAATTTTAAGGATTGATCTTTTTCTTAGTATCCTTTCACTAAATGACCATTTAAAACCTATGATTAAGCATGTTTTCTTATTGGACAAAGCTTTTGCCTTTTAAAAATATAATTATTGCCTAAAGTATATGAAAGTCTGTTTAGAAAATGATACCCACATAAAATATTTCCACTAAAATACACAGTGATTGGAAAACCTGCCTTTATTGTAAGTGACTTTTACCTGTGACAACTAAAATTCAAAATTAGTTATAGTTTTCTTCAAAGCATAAAAAACATATGATTTCATCACCTAGAAGAAAAAGAACATGGCATCACACACTCCATCATGATTTAAAGATCAGGCCTGCATCTAGGTGTTTCTAACTCACTCCTACAAGGTCAGGCGCTTTCTCACACCACCTGAGAGCAGATTCACGTGCACTTGCCCTATGTACTCATCTTCAACACCACTTACGGTACACACCCCGTGCAGATAACTTTTTCTGATTT